TTCACAAGCCTTACATAATATTTTACATTTTGTTAATTAACAAAAGTTCATGCACAATAAAATATTTGTCGATTCCAAAAAATGTTTAAATTCGAGTTTTCGTATGGGAAATATACTTATATTTTTTTAGTTCCGCCCAAGGCGATCCAATTAAGATGAATAATAATTTATAATAATTAATATGCTTTAAGCTAATTTTAATTTAATTTGCCATACTGGCAGAAACATCCCCCACTCTTAACACCGAACCATGCCCACCAAACAGCCGCCCACCGCCCGCCATCATTCCCACAAATTGCAGGGCAATACAGAAGAGAGAATCTATGCGACTGAATAAAACGTTAATTACACGGTAAACAGCCGATTATGCTTCTTGTGTTCTCTCATTTGTTATAATTTGAAAAATTGAATTAATAACAATATGTATAGTATACTTTAAAAGTAAATATTGGGCATACAAGAATCGGTTGCGTATGTGTAATTTACATGACTGCACGCACATTTTTTTGCACAAGTAGTATTACGCAGTCGGATATACCCGAATGCAGAGCACTTACTTCAAATTATATATTAATTAAAATATAATTGTACTTAAAGGTAAATATTGCGCACACAAGAATCGGTTGCGTATACGTAATATGCAACGTGACTGAATCTTAATTTGTACGCACGTTTAAATGCACAAAGGGTATTACGCAGTCGGTTATACCTGCATGTGGCGCTCTAATTTTAATTTCAAATTATATATTAATTGTAATATGCTGGTATTTAAATGTGAGTATTGCGCATACTAGAGTCGGTTGCGTATACGTAATTTGCAACGTGACCGAATCTAAATTTGTACGCACGTGTAACTGCGTGGGTATTAAAAAGGGTATTACGCAGTCGGTTTTACCTGCATGTAGCGCTCTTATTTTAATTTCAAAGTCTTAATTAATTATAATATGTGCAGTGGACCTTAAAGGTAAATATTGGGCATACAAGAATCGGTTGCGTATACGTAATGTACAAATGACTGTGCACAAGCACAAACATGTGAATTTGTACGCCCATGTGGTTGCACAAGCCGGGTTGACATCACCTTCTCCTGGCTCTGGCCACTGACTGTGCGGCATGTGCGTCAGTTACATATAAATGTATATATTTATATATGTATTTAGACAGCTTGCAGCCTGCCATGTGCATTTGGCACTCGGCTAAGAACGCGGGGCACGGCAAGGATGCCGCTGATGGTTACGAAGTGTGCGCCGCGAGCGCTTTTTCTTCAAGCAGCGTCGCAACATGTTGGGTAAAGACGTGTGTCGCTGACTGGCTGTGACGGTAATGCAACGTGCTACAGTTGCGTGCCGTGCCACATGTATGTGCGCGTGCACTCTCAGTGTTGCGAGAGCCTGGGTGTGGGCTGTCGTTGTCGTAGTCGTTGTCGTCTGGCAATGTCTCCATTTGGCGTTTGCCCCTACTACGTGTCTATTTAAATTTGCACCGCTGATGCAGCACTTGATGATGCGCTATGATCAAAAGATTGGCTATATTAGCTATGCGTGTGGGTTTGTCGCCGCAAAAAGTTGTGTGACTTAAAAGTACTTCCTTTTTTTCAGTTCGGATTACAAAAAATTGGCTATATTGTATTCGAATTCTTTCATTTTTCAATCTACTCATTACAATACTCATTAGATTTTCAAATCAAGATTGCAGCCCATCAAAAAATTTATTTGGTCTACTTTAAAGGTTCAAGAACCAGTTTATCCACATCCTAGATGGATTTAGTTCGAATACAATAATATTTCTTGGTTTCATAATATTTTAAAACATTAATTCTATACGCAATAAGCTAAAGACCAACAACAATAAGTAGTATAGGGATATAAGGGCAGAGTATTCAATAGTTTTAAATTGTCTTTTAGTTTTTGCCACTCGGTTTTGGTTGCATTCTTTTAAGTTGGTTGTAAATTGAATTGAAATTATTTGGCAAATGGCAGCGTTGCATGTGGAAACGTTGCAGCACTTTATGCAAATCCAGTGACAGATTTTCACGCCCTTCTGGCAACAGCCGCACCACAGTCCGCGCGGCCCCTCCCTGCCACTGTGTGTGTGTGTGTGTGTGTATAGAGCGTAATTGAAAAGTGCAGTAAATGCGTCTTGGAATCCAGAAGATATTGTTACTCCCATATGAAGCGTAGAGTACATCAATTTGCTATGCCCGGGCGTTAAGCGCCACTTTGTTTGCCGTTTGTGCGTCATTTTCAGCGATGGAAGAACGTCGCCATCGGCGCCGGTTACACTTATAAGCATTTAAGTGATTCAATGCGAAGACCACAAAACCGCAAGAACATCATGCAAATGACATTGGCTATGGCATTGTCAGCGGGCAGATCCCGGGAACAGCGCGCTAGGGGGTCTTGGTTGTCTACTTTGCGTTATGCACTGCACAGCGGAACTGATTGCACCACCAACATCTATTGACGTGGGCATTGTGGATGTTATATATGAAGTAGTTAGATAATGCACATTTTCCGTTAGCCAAGCATTGAAATTCCCTTGAATCGCAGCCGAAAAATGGTTGTGTAAAGAGCCCATTTAACATACACTAAGCTCTGTTTGCCAACTCAAGCTCCAGCTGAGTTATTTGTGGGATGAGAACTCTATACTATGAAACCTGGCTAAGGGGTTGAGAAATTGCATACCCTGTTACAGGTAGCAGGAGGGTAGTCCGATCTCATTAATATCATACATTCTTGATCCAGACGATGAGCTGGGGCCTTAACTGTCTGTCCTCTCACTTAAATGAACTTGTCGAAGTCGGCAACTACTTAGGCAGAGGCCTTGTATTCTATGTATATATTCTCATATACCATATATAGAATATGTTTAGTCCATAGCTCGAAGATGATTATAAAAATTAAAGCAAATAATAAAATTATATGTAAGCTCCTGCCTGGCCTTATAGAATCCAAGTATACGGGATTGCTGCAAAATTTCGTCATGCGAAAATCAGGGTGTTACAAGCAAAAACGCTCCGCAATTTGTCTGGTGGGCCCTGGTACATGCGAGCTTCCGATTCGGAGGAGTGCCCAAATTAAGGGCATTTATAAGTATACAGGCTGTGAACTATATTAAGCGACTTGTAAGTCATCCGAGTTGTTTGGCTAGGAGGCTTCTAAAGAGACGTACAATTTCAAGAGTCCGAGTGCGGAGGAGATTGCGGAGGTTTCAGTCAATCGATCTCTCAGATTGGTTTATATAATAACCCTAACCTTGCCAACGTTTAGGTAAGCCTTAACATTAGAATAACTATTATTGTAAATATTCATATAAGTTAAATTAAAGCTGTTTCCATAATAACAGTAAAATGAAAATAAAGGGTAGAACAAAAATCTTAAATCTTGAAATATAACGTGTATTTTATGGCCACTTCCTTTTCGGCTCCCGTCAGCATCCGTCAAGCTTCCTCCTTACAGCAATATGAAATAGGGTATCATCTAGTTGAGCACTTCTGCCTTAAGCTAGCATACTTGGCCTTGGCTTGTACTTTAATCCGAGTTGCGAGGCGGATTTGGACGAGAAACAGGAAAATAATGTGCTGCACATAATTATGCGTAAATAATAAATTTCGCTTTATTGAATTTCATTCCATTAAAATATTACCACATAATGAGATGTGTGTACTTGCAACGTTCTTGCTCTTTTTAAGTTTGTGTGTGTGTGTGTGTGTTCCTGTGTGTTGTTTTTGCCGGCTTGCACATGTTCAATAATACCTTAGTAAATTCATGTTGTATCTTTTAACGTTTGCATGCTCATTAATTCTGTTACATAAATTATATTCATTTTCAATGTACAGCAATACAAGACATTGAGGGTATTCCGTAAATTTCTGGCATATCAGCAACAGCTGTGATCAAATTGCACAAGCTCGACAGTCGCCGGTTGTAATATATTCAAGATAATTCCAAACCTGAACTTAAAAATACATTTTTCTTTGTAAATCAGTTTCTAATTGGAAAGCATAGAGAGCATGTCAAACGATCTATTTATGCATATATGTATATATATATTCTTTGTTTGTTTCAATATGTGTATCTGTTCTTGGTTTGTGCTAAGGCCAACTTAATATGTTTTTCCACTTACGCTTGATTCGTATATTGAATAAGTATCTTGGTTAAGCCGAAAAGATTCTACAATACATATACTATGTACATTCAATACAACTTTCACTGCATTTTGTGTGATTATATTTATTCATTTTTAATTTGTTCTTGTTGCTTTTGAATTAATTTTGAAACCTATTTGATGTTGCGTGCATTGAAATTGTCGGGCTCTTGAAACAAAATGTTCGGGGTCAAGGAGAAAGAAAAAGCCATCTATTAGCGTTAAGAGCTTACTAGAGCTTTGCTTCTAACATTGGTCAAGCAATAAAAGCCAAACTACAATCTGGAAATAATAAATTGCATTACACGTATTACATATATTTGATCGACATTTCTAGGTTTACAATATTTAATGTTGTTCTTAAAAAAAAAAGTGAAGCATACATTCAGGCTCGTTATATATTTTATTTCAACAGCTCCTTCAGGTCTGTCTGCCTGTGTCTGCCTGTGTGTGTGTGTGTGTGTGTGTGTGTCTGTGTATGTCTGTGTGTGTGTGTGTGTGTGTGTGTGTGTGTGTGTGTGTGTGTGTGTGTGTGTGTGTGTGTGTGCATGTGTGTGTTTTGTGTAACTACGGTTGCGTTAATGTGGTTGTTTGTGTCATTTACTATCATACACCAAAAAAATTGTAGCTTATATTTAGTTTTCTTCTTAATTGTTTTTTTTTTTTTTTATTTTTTTATTTTTTGAAATATTTTTGTTTTTATTCGATTTCCTTTTTTTAATGTTTTTTTTTTTCATTTTTGTAATTTCCTATAACTTTTTTGTCGTTTAGGTTCAATATGCAAGAGTTCTTATCCAAGACACACAAAAAGTCTGGAAACAAACTATATTTTTCATTTTTTTTTTTAGTTTAAATTTTTTTTTAGGTTTTTTCACCTGCTCTCAGATGCGAATCAAAATTATAACTAAGTACAGTACTCATCGCTCGAAACATAAGATTTAATTCAGAAGCAACTACTGAAATTTATGTCTATTTTTTAGGTTTAGATTAGCAATGGGAAACCGGCTTAAACCAAGGGGAAAGCGAACTATTTTTAAGGCGAGTTGTATGCGCATTGTTGATCGATTAGTTGCACTCGATTACCGATTACTAAAAAGATCGTAGATCAGTTATGCTTGGGAGTCGTAAACTTGCTAGGCTTCGATTTTCCTTATGTTTAGCCATATCCTAATTCCTCCTGCTTTGATAGCATTGACATGGCTTAAACAAAAATTCGAGTCGAAATCCCTTTTCTTTCGCTTTGGTTTAAACTGGCTTTCCATTCTCGTATGTTGCTGCTGATTTCGTTTGTGGTTGTTCTTCTAGTTCTATTTTGACGTCCGTGATATCGATCTTCCTGTTGTAGAGCGGCTTAAGGCATTGGAAAGTGATTCTGCTCAAAGTCTTTGTGTCGTTCTCCGAGCAACTTATGGGCGCTGATGTTCTCCAGCCGTCGATCCGTGATGGCCACAAAGGGCAAACGTTGCTTCCGGCTGGCTGCGGACGATGAGGAGAGGGAGTTGGCAGCGCCAATTCCATCCACGACACGATGATAGACAAACGAATTGAGCGGCGAGGATGGCGGCATCGGAGTGCTATCATCATCATCAACAGAGCTCGCGGCGGCCGGGGCAGCAGCATGCCAGCTGCTCTGACCACGTCCGGCTACATTCGCCACAAACTGTGCACTGCGGCTGCGCGGCGTGCCCAAGAAGCTGTCCGTTATAGCCGGGTAGAGGGGCAGCTTAAAGAGTGCCGGCTTTGGGGTGGAATGCACGACGGTGACGGCAACGGCGGCGGCGGCGGCGGCGGCGGCGGGTGGCGACTGTGGCAACGCTTTGGTGTCCACCTCCCTTTGCCAGAAATCAACGGCAGCTGACTGGCGATGTTCATCATCATTCAATTGCTTTTCCTCTTCGGGCAGCTGGTTGGACAGGCTGCTGGTGAGCGTTGCGGGCGTCGTTGTTGTTGTTGTCGTCGTGGTGCTGCCGCCGTGCTGCTGGGCAAAGAGATCTTCGTAGCGCTGCTGATAGCGACGTCGCTTCTGTTTAACGTAATCATCGTCCAGTCGTATGGGTGCCGATTCGTGTGGACCCGGCTGCAGTTGGGAGCCGCTCCAGAGGCCGTTGAACGTGGGCGTAGGCGTAGCCGGCGGCAATGTACCCTCGAGCAGATTGAGCAGCTGTTTATTGCGTCGATTGTACTTTTTGATATACGGCGGCAGATTGGCCTCCTCGCCATGATCCTGCTGTGCCTCCTCCAGCTCGGCAGCTGTCTCATAGTCATCGTCCGCATCGTAATCGGTATAGAGTTCTGGATGAGCTTCGCGATAGTGTTCGTCGTACACCTGAAACTGTACGCGTGCTAGATGCGGCCACTTGGCATAATAGCGCTCCAGCTGCTCCAGCTCAGTGATCTGATGGCCTAATTGCGGCTTCGGTGGCGGCAGCGGCGGCTCTGGCGTTGTAGCGGGTGCCGCCGACTGGGCCGCTGTTGCCTTGCGCTGATAGGGATTCGGTAAACGCTGCATGCGAGCATGCTTGTGATGATGCTGGTGATGATGATGCTTCAGATGATGATGGTGCTTCACCTGATGCTGCGGCTGCGGCTGCTGCAGCTGCTGCTGCTGCTGTTCACTGCTTTTGACGCCATTGCGCAGCACTGGACTGATGCGTCGATACCAGTTGCCATTGTCGTTAGCAATTAGACGTTCCATTTCCGTATGATGGGCGTCTAGGGGTGGCGGCTGTATATTCTCTTGATGGTCGTAGTAGTTCACTTGACCCTCGTAGAAGGGTTTGGGCGTCATGCGTTGTGGTCGCATGCCCAGGGCAAAGATCGGCGCTGCATGAGAGTGTCTCTCTTCACGCTCCTGTTCCTGCTCCTGTTCCTGCTCCAGCAGCCGCTCCTGCTCCTGTTGCTTCTCCTGTTCCCGCTGCTGTTGCCATACTCGCTCGCGCTCTTCCCGCTCCTTGCGCAGCTTAAGCGCGTACCTGGGGGTTAGCCTGATATTGTGCTTGAGGTAGTCCTTGTAGCGCTTCTTGTGACTCTTGTGACCATTCCGGCGATTGCTGCGCCGCAGCGCCTTAAAGCGCTCAAAGGCCGATGGTGACTCGGTGGTGGTGGCATCTGCAATGGAAATTGACAATCGCAATGGGTATGAGTAAAGGAAGAAATTGTGAGTCTCGGCACGATGCGCTCGCTCGGAAGTAATAGATTTCTATTAGTCCCGGGGACAACAAATCGCCATATTTGTGGATGGCTGTTGCTGTTGCTATTGCCCTCATTGTTGTAGCTGTTGTAGTTGTTGTTGTTGCTTATGTGACCCTCATCTAAGACCACAAAATCCGTTGCCCATAAGACCACAATTCATTTCATTTGATTGTGCATAAAAGTGCGGCAACCTCGCTATCAGAAACCCCGCCCAGCCCAAAGTCAGCGAGGTGCGCTTAAAAACTTTCAGAACATTTTACATTTTAAGTGCACCATAAACAGCACGAAAGCAAGTAAAAGCCTAACAATTTATTGCTGCAGTTAGCTCAGACTTTATAAAGTATATAGATATAAAGACCGAATCATAATTTGCCAAGATAACAAATTTTGAGCGAGACGTGGAACCCAATCATTGGATTTATGGAGCCTTATTTGTCGCATTTATGCCCATTTATTGTGGAGATCGAATATAGCCCGCAGCTTCTCTATGAAAATATCTACGGCTTGCAATATTTTCAGCAGAACGGGCAATTAATCATTATTATATATTAATATATTTTTAAACTATTTTATTTTTCGGCATTATGATTGATGTCGTAAGCTATTTATAAGTTTCAATTGCACCAACTATTTGGATGTATGTAAATACTATGAACAATATAAACTTTTCCGTAATATTCCCATACATCATGACATATTGAACCGCCCTCAGAAACAGAGCACACACGGAGGGAAAAAAAACGCACACACACATAACGAATATCCTGAGACTGGCTTAAGTTGTGGCCAAGCAAAGGACCTCTGGCAGTCTAGGCACGTTTCAGGGACGACTCCTCCACTACAATGAATGCAGTGCGAAGTTCATTTTGGTTTTTTTTTTTTGTGTGCTGAGGTTTAGGGTGTGGGCATGTGCGAAGGGGCAATCCTCGAGACATGTACTTCTTGGACAGTACCAAGCCACACAATATATGCCGTTTTGTTGGCTTTATTGCTTCAGGCAGGCAGGCAAAAAAAAAAAAAAACACACAAAACAAAAATGAAAAAGCTTCTCACAAAACAAAACTGTTGTAATAAAATGCCTGCCCATGGGAGTTTGGTGTTCGGTTGGACGCCAAAGCTCATTCCGTTTGATTTCTAGCATTTGCATAAGTTGTGCAAGGTCCATAAACTAATTAAGGCCACATGCGAGCCGACATTGGAGTATTCACATTTGCACTCATATTAAAGAGGTTTTGCGTTTTTCAAATATGGCCGAACATTTTGGGGTACACCGCCCCCCCGGGGTGTCCGCATTCAATTGGGGTTTGCTCAACATATTTTCAATTTACGGTCCACAGTGAATGTCCCTCGCAGGAATCAGCACCAGGGGCAGCTTAGTGCATTGCAGTTCTGTCCAGCTAACCAAATCAAAAACAACAAGACTGTTCTAAGCGGATGAGACCGACTAACAGATACTAAATGCTGAGCTGCCTTTATAGGCATTCAAACATCCTTCTTTGTAGGCATTCTCCAACCCATGGAAAATGCATTCTTGCAAAAACTTCAGTGTTGCTGGTCTCAACTTTATGAAAGGGTTTGAATATGGTATACTAAAGTGTGTATATACTTAGGGTATATCTCTAAAAAAGGGGAGAACAAAGGTAATATGAAGTACTTTCACTTCGTTTCGTTTTCGAAAGAAACGTAATCTGTGCGTGACATAGAAGCACGTACGTTCCAAATCCCAGACAAAATAGTTCGATTCGTTTATTAATAGATCGATTCGGCCATTGACACCTTATGGCTTGTTGACTGTATTTTTCGGCCAGTAACAAAAATTTGCACAAAATCATAATGTCCTCCTATAGGCATTTTACATGCGTACAGGGTATAGAGACCATAAACCGAAACCAAATCAAAGTATGTGAGCACGGGACGCCAAGCCGCAGCGTTCAGCCAAACAGTGACAATAATTCCACAGCAATTTGTGAAATAATTTTAATTTGATACCAATCAATTATAGATTACACACAAAACTGTTTAACAAATTATAAATTTGGCCAAGTATTAGTGCCGAAATATTATTGTTTAACCAGAGTTATTTAATATGAATTTTCAAGCAATAAAGCATTCAAATCTGAGTCATAAATATACGATATTGAATTTTGGTCTTTATTTAAAACCGAGGCGCTTCAAATTGTTTAATTGGAACAATAGAAGAATACGAATTTAATTTACTGGAATGCTTTAATTTATTTACATGGAAATTCAATAGTGTTTTCCGTTTTCTAATTGCTTATTGTTATAACCCACTGTGCGGCTTCTTGGCATTCCTCATGCTCGCCCTGAATGTGTTTGTGTTTAGCTTGCATTGTCTAATACCATTCCGACAGCCCCTCACACTGTTTCTCCCGCTGTCTACACTGACTATGCCGAACCGTGTCCCGATTGCAATCCCTGGGTTCAGCCCGGGGCTTACTGTATATCTTTAGCTGTATATCTATTTTGCTGGCATCTGTTTAAATACCCTGTACCCATTGAAAACTACTGAAATTGGGTATATTGCAGCTGTCTCAGGACGATGAGCTGGTTTTGCGATAAGGCTTTTTGATTTGTTATAAGGCTTTCCAAGTTACATACATATTGAATATGAAGACAGCGAATGGAAGAGAGAGAGAAACTATATTGGAATGTCAATTCAAACACTGAAAATATCGTTAAGATCGGACAAAGTTACCTGGTGCTTGTGTGTATGGACCGAAAGTTGGATCACAGGGTATTTGCTAGTCATTCGCTCTCAATTTGAGCGCTCTTACTTGTTTTGGTCTGACTTTGTACAAGCTTTGGCACTCACAAAATACCCAAATGACTTACCCGGATGATAACGCAATGCAGATTCCGATTCCAGTTGTGGCGCCCGCTGCTCTCCGTACTCATCGTCCTGGAAACGAGAGTCCTGCTGCTGCTGCTGCTGTTGTTGTTGTTGTTGTTGTTCCTGCTGTTGCTGCTTGGTTTCATTTATTGTCTGGCCCAAGTAGCTCAAGTAATTGGCTTGTGATTCACTGGCAATATCTTCGCTGCTTCTCGGATTCTCTCCAGCATCAAAGTAGTGCAGCTCTCCCACGTCGCTGGACTCCATTTGAAAATCTGTGTTGGCGTTCTCGTGATGGTGCGTCCAAATTCGGCCTATGTCGTAGTTGTTCTTGCCATAGTATCTGCCTCCAAGCCAGACATTAGTATTGGCGCCGCTGCCATGTCGCTTCTGCTTGCGTCCAATGGCTGGCGACATATTCCGCCTACTTGAGCTGTTCGATGTGCCTGCTGTTGTTGTTGGATCAGGAGCAACAGTAGTTGGCTGGTTTGTTGTTGTCGTTGTGTAGCTGGTGCTGGTAGCCGGAGACGTAGTCTCCCTTGCTGCTGATTCATCATTGTCAATTGTGGACATAATGTTTTCCGCCAATACTTGATCATTACCAAAATTGTCCTCAATATCGCCGATTGCCATTATGTCCTCGCCGGCCACATCCTCAGTTGCTTGCAACGTTGATTGGCCCGGCGCTTTATTAAATTTTCGTTCATTTAATATTTCAATGGAATCAAACAGCTGCTCCACACCAGCCTTCTGTGGCTCTCGCTGTCGCTGCCATTGCCGTTCCGCATCATCTTGCCCTGCAACACTCTCCATCTGCTGGGCTGGTCCGTTGCCATTTGCCTGCTGCTGCTGCTGTTGCTGCTGCTGCTGCTGCTGTTGCTCCTTTTGGCTCTGTTGATTTTGCTGTTCGTGCATGTTCTTAAATTTTTTATACGCAAAACTTTTGCTGCCAAAGTTCGCGTTTGGCTTCTCATCCTCTACATTGTCCTCAGCCGTGTCCCCAGCCTCCTGCTCGTTGTATTCCTCGTCCTCGTTGCTGTCCTTGTCGTTGTTGGCCTTATCGTTGTTGTTGCTGTTGCTGTTGCTGTTGTTGTTGTTGTCTTTGGCGCTGTCGTTGTCGTCACCGGAAGTGGATTTTGTAGCTGACGCTGTCTCTTCATCTGCTTCTTCTTCATTGGCAACTCTCTTTGGCAGCATGCTCTCTTTATTGTTTTTCAATTTGTAGTTGTAGTGGTTTTTATTGTTGTTGCCGTTGTTGTTGTCTTTGTTGTTGTTGTTGTTGTTGTTGTTGCTGTTATGGTATTTCTTCTTGACTGTCTTGCCATCTTTTGCAAGGTAAACAGTGAAATTCCTTGAAGTGGGCCTTTGAGATTCAAGTATCTGCAAGAATACGAGCGAACAATGCGAGAACGTAAAGACAATAAAAGCCATTCCCAATCCCATGCCCATTCCCAGATGCAGCATGCTGCATACCTATGTACGGCGTATATACATATATTTATCTCGATATACATATGTATATATATATATATAGGCTAAGGGGCGTGTCTGTTGCTGCAGCAAAAAACAATAAAGCCAAAGTGGCAACGACTAAAAGGAAGGAACACACCGAGTTACTCAGTTACCCAGCCAGACACATGTGCGACAATAAAAGGCAAGTTTCGTATAGCCTGGAGTCGTCTTCAAAGTTCCCGCCAGAACTGCCTGTCAGCTGAAACCGACTGCAAGCCGCTGATTAGATGCGAATGTGGCAGCCATGCAAGCATCTATGAGATTGCATTTGTCCAAACGATTAAGCCCAAGTGCTTTGGCAAATTCGGTGACACTTTGCAACTTAAATATAGTTGCCAGACAATGAAGTTTCTTCTTCTTGGCCACATTGTATATATATTTTATTTTAGGAGAATTATATGGGAAATATATAATTTACACGACGTCCCCGGTAGATGAACTGTCATTCGGGCAATGAAAATCGCGGTTCGAATTCCTAGCCTAGTTTAAGGTCTTGGTAGTGAACGCTATTTAAAAACTTTAAAAACAATCAAATTAATTTTTTTTTTAATAGAGATAAAGTTGCTAATTTTAAGCTCTTGACTGATGGCAACGCTTTTCTCTTCTTCCTTTCAACAGTATTAAAAAAAATAAATACGCTTTGTATGAAAAGCTTGATCTAATGGACTCCATGGCGGATGTGGCTTTTGTTTTATACCCTAGAAATGGGTATTAAAACTTTGTGATATAATTAGTTAGCCATATAAGTATATAGAGAGTATAAATAGTCTATAGGAACAGCTGATTCGATATTCTATGTAAACGAGGCTATCGTCACGTAGCTTTGCGTGTCGAAAACGGTTGAAAGGGCAACTTATGTTCTTTTATAAAGCATTAAATTATGAGTAAAATATTATCAATATCAGACTACTTTATTACTATAGTACAAATCTATAGAAGAACTCAGTCGTATGGCAAACTTATGTGTTTTTCGAAACTATCTTTAACCAAATCAACAATTACGATCTTTGCCATTTTTATGTCTGCAAAACAAGGGTATTTAGAGTTCGGCTTGCCATTCTGTCTGTTTTTTATTGCCACAGGCTTAGATGGTTGGTCTGGCTGACCAGTTTCAATGATGATTTCAAGATGACCCCGTTGGGCCAACGATTCGGCCAAGCATGCTGCATATTTAAAGCAATCATTCAGAAAAGTAATTTGACTCAGCTAGCACATTGTGCGACATTTCAATGCGTTACCCTTTTCCTCTCCACTTCCGTCTGTCTATCTATTTTTTTTTTTTTTTTTTGTAACGTCATGTATGCTGTTTCAATAGAACTGACCTCATTTGAAACACTTACTGACTTACAGCACCCATGCAGCTGCTGCACACACGTGCACACAGTGCTTAACATACTCTGCCTATACTCACAATATCAGCCGCATCGGAATCGTCAGCTTCGTCATCCGCAGGCTCGGCATATTGCAGCTGGGAGGCCGCATTGTCTACAATGTCGCCATCGTGCTGGTCAAATATGTCCTCGGGTATGGTGGCCTCAGCTTGCAAATTGAAATCTGTAAAGAAAAAAAGCCACAAGAAGTAAGCTGTGGGTTAAACCATTTGCGAGACTTGTATTCGCATACAACTGTCACAGGAAACGGATGCTAAAATCGAAGATACTCTGTAGCCATATCATGCGCGATGACCTCTTTTCATCGGGCACGTTTTTTTTAAGGCAATTATATGGCTTTAAAGGTACAGCAGTTGATCGAGTGTATGCCTTTGAGCCGGTCTACAATCAACCACTAAGTTTTGATAAGGTCTTAAAAGAAAGACTTTAGGCTTAGGTGTAGGCTCGGCTGATTTTGTTCAATCTGATCTAAGGTTTTGTACATGGTAAACAAAAAATTAAACACTTGAGGTTTAAACCGGCTTGCAGCCAGGTCTTGTGCTTTCTGTTCTTCTCATGCGAATAACAAAATATAATCAAGTGACTTACTGTGGACAAAAATGCTAGCAAGTGCTCGACTAGGAGCTACCCTTTGCCCAGGTATTATCTACCGCAAAATCCATGTAAAGGTCAGCGTAGGCATTTTTAAGCACTTTTTCAATTGCAAAAAAATGCTGTATGAGTCTCTTCTAGCGTTTTACTTAAATAAAAGTAAGCTGCTTGAATTGACTTCCACTTTTGAAAGTAGTCTCTGTGCCCATTGAAATATGAATGCATATGCATGTAATATATAGATATATATATAGATATATATATATATATATATATATATATATATATATATATATATATATATATAAAGAGATACATAGATATGCGTCTCTAGTGGTGATACATGTTTGTGCATAAGTGTGTGTAGAATATGCATGCATGACCTGAAAAAAGAGGGTTTACTCATAGTTGAATGGATAAGAATTTAGCAAGAAGCTATCCCTTGAGTGTGTGTGTGTGTGTCAGTGCTTGTGACTGTGTGGGTCTATATACATATATATGTATTTCTTTTATGCGCTGTCATTGACTGAATTGCCATTTGGGGAGCTCACACACACACACACAACTTGGAGTCTCGCTGCATACATGCTTCAAAAATAAAATGGAATAAAAATGTGTTGTGTGTCTATGAGTGTGTGTGTGTGTGTGTGCGAAACGATAAAAGCCATCTTAAATTGCAAGTGAAATGCCTGACCATGATCTGTATGGAAACATAACAAACAATAAATAATGTACAGCAAACAACAGACATAACATTATATTAAAAATCTCCAAATATAAAAGCTATGTAAAGATTTTCCGATTTTGGGCTTATCGTTATCTGAATAGTAGGCGCATTATTTCCGAATCTGTATTTGTTATTATTATGCAAAGTTCTTGGCTGTTACCTTGAAGTTAATTGTTCTAAACAGCAGGGAACATTAAATCAATCACACTAAAATAAATTGGTTCTAAGTGAAAAACTTTTGAGGGAGACACAACAGCAAAGATTAAAATAGCTTGAGCTCCAACCATTGGAATCATCCGGCTGCATATTATGGAAACGACTCAATATTTTCAGCTGTTAAGTAAATTCTAAAATTTGTTCATTAAAATATTACATAGATTTGAAGCAAAGCCTTGGTTCATGAATACCTGGACTACCTGGTGCAGCAACCGATTCTTAAGGCAGGGAGCTGGTTCAACTTCTAGTTAGAATTAATTAATTGATTTTAGCTACATGTCAACTTCGCCATACTCGACAATATTTTTGGATACAGCTTGTATAAAAATCAATCAACTAGAACGCTTAAGCCTGCAACGCTTTACGACAATTTTTGGGACTTGCATGCTTAACATTATAGACTTGAACCGGTCAACGCCGGCTAATTTGTTAAAGTACACTATAAAATGACAATTATATTACAAAATACAATTAAAGACAATCGAATATTCCCTTTCGAACGGAAAAAAATAATAGAAAACTTTAAGGACTCGGTAATGCCTGCCTTAAACCAGCTGGAGGCCACAGGCTGTGGCTAGCGGGGGCGTAAAATTTCAGCCTAGAAAATCCAAAACAAATTTGCTGAAAATGTAATTCTTTGATTTCACTTGTTATTTGACTTTAATTATTTGCAGCTGCCTTTTGAATATTTTATAGATGTAATCACATTTGGAATGTTGTTGACAACATCGATGTAATTGCTACTAGTGTATATACCCTGTATATTTAACAAGAACAACATGTCAACATCCTGTTGCCATTCATAGAATTATGAATTTCGGATGCGTAGTGACTAATTAAATTCCTTTGACTGGAATTAAATTAACCAAAGACACATGCTGCCTACGTCAACCCGGGGGAGAGTCTCGGAAAAGGTTGGAAAAAATCTGGGAAAAAAATCACGCACATGATTTTAATGTCCCGGTGGCGCTCTGTGGCGACACGTTACGAGGCCCACTTGTCCTTCGCTCCTTATACTCTTACTACCCTTGACTGTCCATCCCTTCGCACAAACACCAGGCCCCTGCGCCCCGTCCATCAGTCAAGCGCTGCATTGAGGTTATCGTCGTTGGGCTTTGCTCATCCAACGCTTTTGTTGCTCAGCTGTCAAGTGAAGGGGCAATGCGGGGAACGGGTACGGGGACGGTGTGCGGTGTGCTGATGGGTGGTTGGAGGCTCAGCCCTGTTCTGGCCAGCTGCTTCATGCCATAATGAATAAATGTCGCATTAATTTTCACGCAGCACTCTTTGGGGGTTGGCCGACGGCCTGTCCTGGTGTTTGTGTGTGTTGGTGGGGAGTTGAAGGTTTGGGGCTTCAGCAGGTGGGGTTCTGCCACTCTGAGCCTGGCCCCGGCACGTTCTCTGCTTGTTTTCCTTCAGCTCCAGAGGCAAACAGCACAAATCCATTGCATAGCCTTGGCACACAATGCCCACGTTTTACACTGATTTTCTCTATGTATGCATCTGTCTGTCCGTATGTCAGTCTGTCTGTCTGTCTGTCTGTCTGTCTGTATGTGTCTCTGCCTGCCTGCCTGTCTGTCCGTCTGTGTGTTTGCTTATATCTGTATATTTTACATAAAAGCGCGTGAACAAACTGATACCCCCTCTACCGCTGTATGAGTATGCATATTTGAATGTTGTTGCCCTCTGGAGTTTAATTATTATCCTTGTAATGATCGTGTTGCTTATTCAAGTATCAAAAGCTGGCCAACTTGCCACGCCCCACCATTGAAATGCCCTGCCATGCCTACAGTTTAGGCTAATTACAAGCTACAGTTGCCAGGAGCATCCAACTGTTTTCCGGGGCGCCACATTCCCCTCCACCTTTGCACATTGCACCGGCAAGCAGGCCGGAGGGAAGGGTTAAAGCCATCGTTCTGTCTCTGTTAATTAATCCACTATGGCCTGTTGACTTTTGGCGCACACTCTCGCTGCGCCCCGTTCCTCTTCACCGTGCAAGGCCCCTCCTCCCCCTCATATGTGTTGCAATTTTATAGCCCCGCACTTTGGCATAATTATATGCCCATTTATTGTGCAATCAACTGTGCAATTTGTCTTTAACAATTTGTTCGCTTAATGTACCCAATCCAATTTGTAAATTCCGCGGAATTGAAAGCCCACAGCAGGTCTGTATTTAAAACATTTGACTATTGTAATTTTGTGAAGAATGTGCAAATATTCTTAATCTGTATTTTGGATTGAAAAAGCATGTTTTAACAAGCGATATTTATCGATAATTTGTTATCGGTTGATGTATCGAAAAATTCCGATAAGCTCTTACTGCGTATATTACACATTCTTACCGATATTCAAGTTTTAGTTAAGAAAAATATTTCAAATGGAGTTTAAAGTCAATTGAATTAAGATCCACAAGTTTCAATCAACGTTTTCGGCCCATTTTACAAATTAAGCAGATAAATAAACATTTTTTTATAGAACCTTTGACATACATTTTTGATTCAAGAGGAGCTTTGCAAAGAGTCCAAACGAATTTTCCCAAGTAATATTAAATAAGTACAAAAATAAAGTAAATTCAACCATTTTCCGCAGCAACGAATGAAATTGCCAAAAAAACAGGTATTCATTAAGTTTTTCTTAAGATAAGTTTGAGGCGGGCAAAGAGAAATGACTTTACTAATTTTATGGTTTATCAATATTTCATTCACAAGTCTTGCCTGTAAGGAACTCCGCTTCAGGTTGCTCTTGCGCTCTCCTAGATGACCTCAGGATCGATCCGTAGAGCTATTGTTATGTTCCGTAATACGCCAGAGTAAACGTACACAGTTTTCGCAACTTAATATAAATGTTATCAAGTTAATATCCCTCTGCTACTTATCCATTTCTGAGAAAATTAGGTGAGGGTGTTTGCGCTCAGGAAAATGTATGAGTCATAGCTGTCGGGTTGTTGATTTGTTGGTTTATTGACAAAACAGAATGCTTTTGTTTATGACACTATAGTATATTACGCATACGAGCCGTGGCATGCCCGAAAATGATAAAAGTCTTTAAGGGAAATGGCGAACTTCAAGTTGGCTGACAAAATATTCAGCCATAAAAATAATTTGCCGCAGTTCAAGGCCAACTTACAACTCGCAAATGTCAGGGACAGGGGCAGGCAGCATACGAACATGAAATGCATTTTAAAAGGCATTTCAACAAATTCCGAATGATGCCATTATAACATTCAAATGCAGAGAGACGACAAAGAGCTGCCCGCAATTGTTGAGTGCCTGCCCCAACCCGAAAAACTGGAGGAGGAAACTGCTTGGCCAGGAGTGCGGATCAAAGTTGGCTTGTGGTGGAGCTGGGGCGTGATGCTGGGTCTATTGTCGCATTAACAGAAACGAAAAAAGAAAGTTCAACAACGAATGGCCGCTCGCTTTGTTACGGTTGCGGACATTTTAATTGCACTTTAGTGGGTTTTGTGGTCGCCATTGTTGTCTTACTGTCGACTATGCACTAAATAAATTTAAATGCCCAGCATGCGGACGAGGTCAGCCACTAGCATACAAACAAACATTCGCACTCACACACACTCGTACACATGCTCATAAAGAGCAGTCTGTTGAGTAGCTCATTGTGAAACTGGC